AACATACATACATACATACATACATACATACATACATACATACATACATACATACATACATACATACATACATACATACATACATACATACATACATTCATACATTCATATACTCGACAGACGACAACTTTAAATTCACACATTTTCCTGTTGGAACGAATGCATTATTGTTATTAATTATTATGCGCGGAACCTGTAGCGCTTATAGGCGCTACTTAATTCGTTCTACTTTTTTGTTTGAGAAAGCGTTTTGCAGTACTGGCAACCCAACTATTTCAAGACGAAGACGGTAGAACCATAACCGTCACATCAGATCGAAATGTTAAAGTGCTGAGAATGTTTAGGATACGTTTGGAGAGGAGAAGGTATTGCTTGGTTCCAGTGGAATGGGGGCCACTCTCACATGTACAGGGTGGCCCTTGCATGGCCACAAGAAAGGTTTGGGGAACGCCTTATTAGCCGAAAGCTTACAAATGAATAGTCACCGCATTCCCCCGACTTGAATCCTTGCAATTATTTCCCTTTTTTTAAGTTTCATATTATACTAGCTGGGTCCCTTTTCGGTGAAAGGAGTGATCGGTGCATTAACATCAACTGAAAGTCATTGGCATACATTTACTCTCTACTGGAATGGAGCAATAACTCTTGAGAGATGCAAAACTTTAGAAGGTTTAGATCTATGCACTCAAAACAAACGTCATGAAAAATTGTGTGAAGTTTGAAAAGGGAGGTTTGAGTGTCGAGAAAAGACTTCCGGTTTTTAAAAAAAATGAGACTGCAAAATTGTTGATCGTCCCAGGGCAAAGAGGTTATAAAAAGAAGGTCTTAGCTGTGACGTCACGAGTGACAAACCTGAGGGCGCACCACCATTCCGGAGAGGAATAAAAGACCAGTCGGTGCACAGCAACACTTTTCAATCACGGGTTAATGATACTCAGCGAAGTCTTAGGATGTTGATTTCTTTTTCATGCGATTTTCCTATCGCTAAAATGTACTCATAATGATTTTTGTGATTTTTACCTTGAAATGAGCCAGATGATCTTCAAATTATGCAAATATGGCCTTTTACACGGTGTGGCCATACGGGTGAGTAAAATTCAGAAGAAAACCTGAATGAGACGGATTTAATTATCACTTTTTAAAATAAAAAACATGATTTTATTGTATGTAGTCTTTTACTGTGCGTCGCTCAAACAGTATGTCTAGATTTAGCACCGCTGATCACAACAATGCGCTCGTTTCGGCCCTATGAAATCAGGAATGTGTCTGAGAAGCTGCTACAAAGATTCAACTCTAGCACACCTTCAAGGCTGGCTGAACAGAAAAGAACCGCTGTCGATGTTCTTGAGACGAGAGAATGTAAAGTAGCCAACCAGGCGTAACTACAAACCAATAAGACAGGCGTGATTATTATGGTGTCTCATTTGCGAACCGATGACAAATAGCATGTGCAACAGCAGCAGCAGGGGTTCGTGGAAGATGGAGTGTTGTGTAGCTAAACAGCATTGCCAATCAACGCCAATTTTAGAAAATATTGTGAGCGTTTAAGATGAACCGGGTATTTCTCTAAGTGTTGCATTTTTAAAGTGTTGTCAGTTTATAATTATTGGTGCCCGATATTAAACAGCGCTCTTTGGGTGTGCGCACAGAATCCATACAATGAGTGATTTACAGTTAGGACAATAACCAGTCTTAATCCCCTTCATACTCTGTGAAGACCTAGGCGTTGCATCAGTAGAAGGAGAGACATGTAGACAACATGACAGAAAGGCAATCCATTTTGTTTTCTTTCTTTTTCTTAACAAACTCAATTACACACTTTGTCTCCCTCCGCCCTCCCCCACCCCACCCGGGAAAAACAAACAACACCTCATATTATATCTCTCTGTTCATTTGTAGCCCACATTTAAATGCATTTTTGTTTCCCACAATCGGTTAGCAGGTGCGGTATTGTGAATGCGTGTATGTTATATGATTAAACAACAAGAGCAAACAAAAACAAAACTTAAAATAACACTGAAATGAGCTTCAAACATACGGTGTGACTTTATGTCACTGAGGCGTTACGCTAGATGTGAAGGCCTACCCGGGTCACCCTGAAACCTCTCTGGCCAACGGGGCTCTGGTGAAACTGCGACTGGCTTGGCAGGCCGGCAGTGGATATGAATATTGCTCAAGAAAATAAAAGGAGACACAAACGGACTGATCAAAACAGAAAATCTAGCGAGGAAAACGGACAACGAACAAAAAACAAAAGAAAAAATTTGGGACCTGGAAAATTTGCAGCTTGACAAACAAAGAACCTGAGTTAGTGGAGTTCATGACCCAGAACAAGATCTCCATCATGGGCATTACAGACATCAGGAAAAAAGGGACAGGTACAAAAGAGATCCACTCCAACGTTGTCCTCATTTGGAGCGGGGAAAGAAAAGATCAAAGAGCTGAACATAGTGTGGGTTTCATCATACACCCTGACAAAGCAAAGGAAATAATAAATACAGACTTCATTTCTGAAAGACTCATCAAAATTAGCATTAGAGAGGGCAAAAAGACCACAAACTACATCCAGGTGTATGCACCGTGTAACGACTCCTACTCAGACGAAGAAAAGGACTCTTTCTTCGAACAACTCTCGGACTTAATTAGCAGCATCCCAGACGAGGAAGACCTTTATGTAATGGGAGACTTCAACGGAAGAGTCGAAGAGAGAAGAACACCGTGGACAAAACACCTGGGTCCACACAGTGACCACAGAGCACAATGCAATTATAACGGTAACCATGTATTGGAACTGTGTTCAGAGCACGATTTATTCAAAACCAACACCTTCTTCCAGCACAGTCTTTCAGATCTGCACCTGGTACAGATGGAACAACTTCAAGGTCTCATCACAGTTCGACTTCATATTAGCGAGATGTGGAATGCGGATCACAATCACAGACTCAAGAGCCATCCCCAATACAGGCCTGACACAGACCAACGGCCAATCATCACAACGTTGACCACCAAGAAAGAAAGAAAATCAAAAAACCTTAAAAGACAGCAAGAGAGAATAAATATGCATAAACTCGGAGATGATCAGGTGCAGGCTCAGATCAGATGCACCCTAAATGAAAAGCTAGGCTCTACAATACTAACCGTAGAAGAAGCTTGGGACACCTTCAAAACAACCCTCCAGGACACTATGCAAGAAGTCTGTGGTACCAAGAAGACAAGAGAAAAACACATAAAAGCAATAGCCTGGGGGAACGAACAAGTTTAGGATGCTATCAGGGAAAACAGAGACTGTATAGTATTATGAATGGATCAAGTCAAAAAACGAAGAGGACTACATTAAATATAGACTTGCGAGAAGACACAGCACGAAAGTCATTAAAACGTATAACATCAAAAGAAAAGTCATGGACCCAGTATGGCGAAAAGCTAAATGAAACCTGCAAGACCTCACCAAGAGAGTTCTACAAGAAGGTGAAGACAATGAGAGTAAGAGACGAACCCATCAACGATACTAATGGAGAAGCTATAAACGAAGAGAAGGAAATAATAAAAAGAGATGGGAAGAA